TCCATGTGGATCCAGGGCAAGAATCCACCTGCATCCAGAGCCCTCAGGGATAGGAATCCATGAGGAACCAGAGCCCCCTGGGGTGGGAATCCATGTGGATACAGAGCCTCCAGGGATGGGAATCCAGGAGGGTCCAGAGCCCCCTGGGGTGGGAATCCAGGATAATCCAGAGCCCCCTGGGGTGGGAATCCAGGATAATCCAGAGCCCCCTGGGGTGGGAATCCAGGAGGATCCAGAGCCCCTGGGGTGGGAATCCATAAGGATCCAGAGCCCCTGGATATGGGAATCCATAAGGATCCAGAGCTCCCTAGGAGTGGGAATCCAGGATAATCCAGAGCCCCCCAGGGATAGGAATCCATGGGGATCCAGAGCTCCCTAGGGGTGGGAATCCAGGATAATCCAGAGCCCTCCAGGGATAGGAATCCATGGAGATCCAGAGTCTCTTGGGGTGGGAATCCAGGAAGATCCAGGACAGAAATCCATGAGGATCCAGAGCCCCTAGGGATGGGAATCCCTTCCTAATCCCAGAGGGAATGCACAGCACATTTCCTGCTCTGTGAATGTCCTTGGAAAAGGCCTCGCTGGCCTGGAATGATCCCGTTGGGAACAGCTTGAGCAGCTGCCAGAGGCTTCCATGGGCTTGGAGCAGCTGGAAAACTCTGGAATGTTATCCCTCTGATCCCATTTTTTCCCCCCTCCCAAAAAAACCCTTGTTCTCTGCTGATTTAAAGGAGCTGATCCCAGATTTTTCCTCATCCAGGCCCTGGAAACTTCCCTCCCTCCTCTCTCCCTGGGATTTTTGTTTTCTGGGCCAAATATGTGGAGCAGAGCCCTGGATCCCTCGGGAAAGTGGGATAACCTGGATCCCAGGGCTGTGCTTCCAGAGGGAGGGATGAAGCTTCCCAGGGATATTCTGGGAATGTGTGACATCCTTGTGCTTCCAGGGCCCAGGGCAGAGGCAGATGGAGCCCGGGAGGAGCTGGATCCCACCTGGATGAGGATATTCCTGGGCTGATGGAAGCACTGAGGTGGGACAGGGATTGGCCAACTCCAGGAATTCCAGTGTCCCCAGGCTGTGGGAGCAGCTCCTTCCCTCCCTGCACCTGAGCTGGGAATTCCCAGCTGGATCAGAAGCTCCAGCCTCATTCCCAGCTGGATTAGAAGCTCCAACCTCATTCCCAGCTGGATTAGAGTCTCCAATTTAATTCCCACCTGGATCAGAAGCTCCAACTTAATTCCCAGCTGGATCAGAAGCTCGAGCCTCATTCCCAGCTGAATCAGGGTCTCCAACCTAATTCCCACCTGGATCAGAAGCTCCAACTTTCTCCTTCCCCCTCTGGATCAAACCTTCCTCCTTCCCTTTGGAAGCAAATCCCACCTGGAAAAATAGGTTCCACAGGGATTCCCGGCTGTGATCCGGAGGAATCTGCCAACCTCCTCCTGCTGCTCCAGGGAAAACTGGAATCCCGGGGCATGATGGAATCCAGGATCAAACGTGAGTGGACACTCCTCTCCTTCCCTTTCCAGCCTGGTTTTCCATCGGGGTGGGAATTCTCTGATGGTGGGAAAGGTGTGGCAGCCAGGAGGGAATTCCCTGCCCTGGGAATATCATCCCAGGTTTTGCTGCCCATTCCAAGATGTTGGGGAGTCCCTGGAGGGTTGAAGGGCTGTTCATTCCCAAAGGAATCTCCAGGAGTTTGAGAATGACTCCCAAATCCTGCTGGATTGTCCCATTTTTGAAGGGAATAATGTGACAGTGTGGAGAAGCCTCTGGAAGAGCAGGAAAAAGAGGGAAAAGGGATTTCCTGGAGCAGCAACAGCCTCAGGATCCCTTGGATTGAGGGTGATGCTGCATCCAAGGGTTCCAGAGCCTTGGGAAATGGGAAAGGATTCCCAAAAGTGGAAGTTTGGGGAGGGATCAATCCCAAAGTGACCATGGAAAGACCTGGATGGGCTCCATGAGCTTGGCCTGAGGGATGGGAAAACCAGGAAGGGATTTTTTTCCTGGGATCATTCCCAAACTCCAGGAGCTGTTTGTCTTCATGGGCTTGGAATGAGCTCCTGGAAAAGTCCTGGAGCTTTTCCAAGAGGTGTCCTTGGTCCAGGTCACCTGGTCCAGGTTCCAGGGGGGAAAGGGGGATGGAAACCCATGGATCAGGGGGATGGGACCACCTGGATCAGGGGGATGGATCCACCTGGATCAGGGGGATGGAAACACCTGGATCAGGCCTGGGAAGGGGGATGGAAACATCTGGATCAGGGGGATGGGACAACCTGGATCAGGGGGATGGAAAGGTGGTTGGAACCACCTGGATCAGGGGGATGGGACCACCTGGATCAGGCCTGGGAAGGGGGATGGAAACATCTGGATCAGGGGGATGGGACAACCTGGATCAGGGGGATGGAAAGGTGGTTGGAACCACCTGGATCAGGGGGATGGGACCACCTGGATCAGGCCTGGGAAGGTGGATGGAAACATCTGGTTCGGGGGGATGGAAATCCTTGGATCAGGGGGATGGAAACCTGTGGATCAGGCATGGAAAGGTGGATGGAAATCCTTGGATCAGGGGATGGAAACCCATGGAAAGGTGGATGGAACCACCTGGCTCAGGTGGCTAAACCCCCTGGAGGTTCCTCCTTCCTTCCTGGGGCTGCTCCAGGAGTTTTTCCCAGAACTCTTCAGCCTCTCCCTGTATCCCAGGCCTGGCCACGACGCTGATGGACGCGACGACGGATAAGGATCCGGAGGTGCAGGAGCAGATCCTCAAGGCCCTTTGCTTCCTGGGAGAGTCGGAGCCGGAGGAGATCCTCAACTCCTGCGACGAGTACCTGAGGCAGCACGACAAGGTGAGGGAGGGATCCCGGATCCACAACATTCCAGAGCCAGCCCCCCGTCCATGGACACCTCCACAACATTCCAGAGCCATCCCACCATCCATGGACACCTCCACAACATTCTCG